ACTGTAAGAGGCGAGGTCGCTGGGCGACACGTCAGAAGGCCCAGGCTTGCATTTCAGCTTCGTCATTAGCTGTCAGAGCGATTGGCGTGGCAACGTCGCCTCTCCAGGCCTCGGCGTCCTCCTTTGGGAGACAGAAGGGTCGTAACAGAGACCTCCAAGGTGACTTTAGTGCCGAGTCTATGAGACTGACAGTGAGCTTCTGGGGGGAAGGGTGGGGGGCGGGGCTTGGGGGGTGCTCTGGGTTCCAGTCAAAATTTGCAAACATGTCTGTTTCAATTTTAGTGAGGATGAAAGCCCAGGACCCTCTCACTAAGTAAAGGCGTAAAAAATATCTGTTTTCCTGTCTATATTCTGTTGCTTTCCGCAAAGACTCATGGAGCAGTTTACAGAGAAGCTGAAACCCAGCCCCAGTCCTAAATCGATTTGGCTACACTTGATACACTCTTCCTTTCTAGAAGATGACTTTTCGGTTATGAGAAGCTAACTCCAGACGGCTTTTCACGCCTCTTTCATTTTGCTGACTCTTTTCAAGGACTTCTGCCATTGCTCAGAGCAGAGCCGTGGGGTAGGTGTTGGCAGACTCCAAAGTGACCAACCGGAAGTGTCAAGACCCCCTGATGAGACTGAGGGTGTGATGAGTCCCTGCCTGTGAGGACAGGGCCGCTCTCACTCCCTGTCACTATCCCAGCTTTTGTCTGGAGAAGGGGAAGAGGGGATCTTGCCTACCACCAGGGACCAGAGTTTTTCCTGGGGTCACAGACGCTGGGCAGGAAATTCAGTGCCAGTGACAGCGATGCCAGGACCCAAGAGGGTGACACAGGCCAAGGGGGCACCAGAGGGGACCAGCGGCTGGACTCTCCCCAGGGCTGTTCAGACTCCGGGGCCCAGGCACTGCACCGCCCCCCCACCCCCAACAGGCTGCTTATCTGAACTCGGGGGTCCAGGGAGAAATAGTGTCCTCTGGATATGGGGACAATGAGTGGGCATTCATGTCATTCTCATTTTTAAAGTGCCCGAATACCTTTAGGAAGATTGTATTAGCCTGAGTTCTCCAATAGAAGATTCTCTCTCTCTCTCTCTCTCTCTCTCTCTCTCACACACACACACACACACACACACACACAGACTCATAAAGAATTGGCCAATGCAGTTATGAAACGCCGAGAAGTCCAAGATCTGCTGTCGGCAAGCTGGAGACCCAGGAGAGCCGATGGTGTAAGTGCCACCTGAGCCTGCGTCTGAAGGCAGGGGGAGACCTGTGTCCCCAGCTTGGAGACAGTCAGGCAGAGAGAGCGGGGGACTCTGCCTGACTCCACCTTCTACCCCACTCAGGTCTTCAGTGGATTAGATCAGGCCCCTCGCATGGGGGAGGGAAATCTGCGTTACTCGGTCAGCCGACACAAACGCCAATCTCCTCCGGGATAACCCTCACAGACACGCCCGGAATATCGTCTGCTCAGATATCTGGGCATCCCGTGGCCAGTCACGCTGGCCCATAAAGTGACCCATCACAAAGCCCGTCTCTTGTCTACAAGGGCTGCACTCTGAATAGAATTCAGGAGGCAGTGCCAGCGGACGCCTCTTCTGCAGACTCAGTAAAGTGGAAGGTCCCCCTGTCCCCCTCCCCGCCGAAACAAACGTCTTGGAAATCACTCTGCAAACCCCTTTCTCCTCTCCAAGCCGGGCTCCTCAGTCCCACAGCAGACTCAGAACTTGGAGGATAGGAGGGAGATGAGCTGGGACTTCGAGACTACAAGGTCCTAGGATGAGGTTATTTAGTGGGCCAGCGTGCGGGTTATTTTCCACTTCTCCTCCCTAATGCCTAAGCCAGCCTGGCTCCTTCCTGGGCGCCTTATCAGATGGGGCTGCCTGTCGACGTGATGGAAAGACACTGAGAATAGCTCTCTGGGAAACTCGGCCCAGGCTGGGCGCTGATCCGCTAGGGGGCTGTTTGGAAAGTGGAATCCGAAGCTCCAGTGAGCCATGGAAAATTACGGCCTTCCTCAGTGCAATTAGTTGTCCAAACATGAAGAATATTTTCTTTTATGCCGCCCTGCCTTCTGCTTGCTTTCTTTCCCCCAGCACGTTCTCATTCTCCTCCTCTGTGCCAGCGGCCAGATCCTGTGGCCGGCATGACCCTGGTCATCAGCACTGCCCCAGGCCTGGGCGCAGAGTCCGAGGGTAACTATGGTTACGTGAACGCCGAGAAACTGCATGGGGAGGTTCTTTTAAAGGGGGAGGACCACATACATAGGAGGAGAGCAGAACTGGATGCGTGAGGAGATTCTGCTGTTCTCACATCCTGACTGTCACGATGCTCTCACCATTTACTTATTTATGAGTGCGGGAGGCGTCTTTCTGATGGATTCGGGGCTGGGTCTTCATCTCTCCCTGGGATTGTGTCCTTCTCTGTGAGAACACAGTTTCATGGCTCAGGGCGGGGTGGTGTGCCAAGCTGAAGGGTCTGTGCCTAGGACTCAGCAGTCAGCATGGCTCATGCGTTCGCAGGCTGTGGCTGGTCTAACCGGGAGTGTTGGGGGGTGTGGGGGAGACACAGATGTCTCAGTGAAATCCCTAGCATACACCTGGGGGTCGGAGAGCTCAGTCCCGGCGGAGCCGCTGCCCCGTGTGGGAGCAGGCTCAGAAGGCCGGACGATGCCGAGTGAAAACGCTCTCCGTTTCGCTCTCAGTGGAATCTGAAACACAGAACAGAACAGAAGCAGACTCACAGACACACAGGACAGACTGGTGGTTGCCAGAGGGGAGGGGCTGGGGGGTGGCTGGGTGGAACAGGGGAAGGGGAGTAAGAGGTACAAACCTCCAGTTACAACATCAGTAAGTCACGGGGACGTAATATACGGCAGGGGGAATACAGTCAAGGTTAAAATAACTGCAGTGACGGGTGGTGACTAGACTTATCATGGAGACCATGTCGTAAGGTATATAAATGTTGGATCACTGTGTTGCACACCCAAAACTACGATGATGTTGCCTATCAGCTATACTGATACAGCGCGTCCTCCATTTAATAAAATATCAGGCCCGCTCCTACTTAAAGGTGCAGTGGAGTCAGAGGTGGATGCTGTCTATCCCTCCTGCCTCCCTCCTTTCCACTCATTCCCCACACCTCATGACCTCTGCACAGAGTGTGCAAGAGCATGGCTTTCCCTGGCTGGCGTAGCTCAGTGGATTGAGTGCGGGCTGAGAACCAAAGTGTCTCAGGTTCTATTCCCAGTCAGGGCACATGCCTGGGTTGTAGGCCATGGCCCCCAGCAACCACACATTGATGTTTCTCTCTCTCTCTCTCTCTTTCTCCCTCCCTTCCCTCTCTAAAAGTAAATAAAAAAAAAGAGCATGGCTTTCATCATGACATCGCTGACCAATGTCCGGGGTCATCAGGCCACTTGGGGAGGGCAGCCAGTGGGTCCTACGTGAGCACATCAGGTTGGGGTGAAGCATCACCCGCCAGCTGAGCACGTCTCCCGAGCTCAGTGTGTTAGGGAGGATCAGCCAGCTGATGAGTCCAACATCTGGGTGTTACCTGCAAACCAGGCACATCCTCCCAGAGCCCCAGGGATGCTGCCGTCCGGGTCTGCGTTGGGATTTTATCAGACGGTCCAGACTGTTCCTGCCTCTCTCTCACGTCTTGCTGGTGTCCGGTCCCACCTGGCAGGAGCAGCTGTGCTGGAGACAGGTGCACGGGCCCATCACCCCGCATCCGGACGGAGTCCGTTACACGTATCTGTGCTTGGTCCCCACCCAGTGAGGATGTGTCCAGTGATTCTGTAAGGCCTCAGAGGTGTGCTCACCCCCCTGCCCTTGGGGAGCACGCTCGGATTACTCGGGCACACAGAGGAGCCCTCCTTGTCCTCGGCTTCCCCAGCCAGCCCCTGACGCCATGTTTGTGTCCGAGATCTGCCGCCATCCCAGCCGCCTGGGCAGCTGCCTCACCCCGGCCTCCAGAGAGTGGACAGCAGTGCGGACCTGAAACTGAATGCCTCGTGCCCTCGTGCCCTCCTTGCCCCGCCAGCATTCTCCTGCCCTCTCAGGCCATCGCCTCTTACCCACCCCACCTGTGGGTCCCCCAGTGCCCACTGGCCTGCCCCTGGCTTCTCGGCTTAGCCTGGCTTCTTGAGGTCCCTCCAGGATGACTTCACCTGCCGTTTCCAGCTCTGGTTGTTCATTCGGCGAACATTCACGGGGCACTTCCTGTGCAGGGTGTTGAGGGAGATTCTGGGGATGCAAAGGGGACAAGGCCTCAGGACCGGTCCTTGAAGAGCCCACAGCTCGGTATGAGAGGCGGCCTTTCTCCAGCCCGTTCACGGCAGGACTGCGTTCCCGTTGCAGTGGCGGGACACAGTGGCAGCTGTGCCGGGGAGCATGGGGTTAAGGAAGGCCCCCCAGCAAAGGGCGGCCGTGGCTGAGGCCCAGCGGATGTGGGCGAGGACCCAGGGCAGGGACAGGGGAGGGTCGGCGTTCCCAGCAGGCCTCTCCCACATGCCCCCGGTAGAACTCTCACGCCCACGTGCTGCCCCCCAGCGCCCCCCTCCCAACACTGGCCATGGGTCCCGCCCTTCCCGTCAGAACGCCACCCCTGCCTCCCTCTACGAAGTTAGTCCTGGCTGCAGAACCCTCACCCACCGTTCACGGCCGCGCTCGGATTCTATGTCACCCGCCCCCAACCCTCAGCATTTCGCCCACCACTGAGGCTCTTACCCTCTTCCATTCCCTTTGTGGTTTACTCTTCTCATCCCCTTGAAACACGAACTTGGCCTTGGGACGGAAAGCTCTAATGAGCACTCCTCTAAGCAAGGAGCGAAAAGCAGAGCGAACCGTGCCCTGAAGTCTTACCTTCTCGGCTGTGTGGTTGGGGTGGTGGGGTGGTGGGGCGGGCCACCCACGGTGCCGGAAAGAGGGCAGCCCCTGCCCCCATTTACCTTGGCAGCCCCTCGGTGCTGGAACGTGTCCAGCGTCACCTTTCCTTCTCTCTGTCGACGTAGGGCTCGATGACCCTCAGGTGTGTGCCGACCCGGGCGTCCCCGAGAATGGCTTCAGGACGCCCAGCGCAGGGGTTTTCTTTGAAAGCTCGGTCACCCGATTCCACTGCCAAGACGGCTTCAAGCTGAAGGGCTCCCTGAAGAGACTGTGTGTGAAGTTTTTTAACGGCACGCTCGGCTGGGTCCCCAGCGACAAGCCCATCTGCGTGGAGGAAGGTAAGTGCTTAAACCCGCCCCCAGGGCCCCTTCCCATGGACACCTCGAGTGTGGTCCACTCTCGCTGCACGGCCGTGGGGGGCACAAGGCTGTGTGGGCCAGAGGGGTCGGTGCCCTGGGCCGCTGGCACCGTGTCAGGGCCAGACCCGCGAAGAAAACCACGCCTGTGTCCTGAGGGCTGGGGGAGATAAATTCATCCTGGCATTAGACGTAATCATCTTCCTTCCCTATCTCAATTACCGTCCAATTTATCACCATTTTTGTCCATGCGGGAGAGAAACTCAGATAACATTAGGGCTATTTATTACGGAGCCACCAACGCCACACTCATTTCCATGTTACTCAGTAAAAAGCAAGGCAAATATATTGGGCAAAAACTACCTAGAATGATGCAGACGATGCCTGTGACTCAGAGGATTAAATCAATTATGCTTATCAGCTCTCGGTTAGATGGGATTTATTTAGGGGAAGAACTGTGACAAGCAATGACAGATTGGCAAGGTAGACACTTATTCTAACAATCTTCCCTGCATTTATTGGTCGTGACAAGATATTCTTTTACTTCCCGCAATTATCCTTTAATCTGTTGGTTGAGACAACTTCGTATATATCGTTTTTTACTTTTTGTAGATACTTTTAGAGTTGAAAGAATGCTTTGAGTTTAACTCATTAGAACACCAAATGGTCAATGATGTTATCTCTGAGGATCGGCAAGCCAGAGGTAGGCCTAGGTGTGAATCAGGAATGAATTCTATCCTCAAATTTCCATGAGGCACAGAACTCATATTTCGATGAGTTCATTGCAAATGAGTTTCAAGTTCTCTTAACACCATTGTTGATTTTATTTTGGGATGGAGCTTTTATAACAATGATATATAAACTCTTAATCTGATTTAGTGTATATCCGTATGAATGTTTTAAAATAATTCAAATTTGGGAAGCATTTATTATGGTCTTCCTTACGGGAATTTTAAAGGATGGATAAGATGGTGTCTTCTCCTTAAAAGTATTTGCTATCTTTGCTTTTATTTTTAAGGTATTTTATTAAAACCAAAATTAATAAAAGGGCTTAAGATTTCAAAAAAGTAAATTTAGTTTTCCTGTTATTATATGCAGCTCAGGCAAGCTGTGGTTTCCATAAGATTCGATTAATTGTAAGGTTATTTGGTTGGTATATACGTCAACTTCCTTGCTTACACCTGTGCCCTCAGATACCCAGGGCTTAAAACCCAGGGAAGCGCAACAACATCAGAGCACGAAAAAGCCCAACAGCCTTCCTGAACGTTACCCAGAGGTGAAGTCCCTCTGTTACTTTGCCATCCTGGTAAAAAAAAAAAAAAGGCTTATCCCTTTCTAGGTGAGAATCTTCACAACCCTGTGTATAACTAATATAAAGGAATTCCAACAACAGGAGTGGACAAATCACCTTGGAGTGGGAGGCTTGGGTTGCACAGGTCTGCGTGCATGAGCTTGAACTCAGCCCCAGCGGTTTGTTTGGTTAGAGGCTGTGTCGGTGGAGGTGGCGGGCCAGTGCCTTTATTATGCAAACCGAAATAAGACCATCTGTTTCCCAAGGAGGGTCCAGGACCCTGCATTCCAGACTCTGCACGATGGTGTGCTCTAATGGCGTTTTTTAGAAAGTTTGGAAGAACAGGCATCGCCTTTCTAAGCATGACAGTAGACTGATTTTCAATATTAATGGTCATCGCGTTGGTCTTTGAAAGAGCTGGGTAAACAGAGGGCCTTTGTTGCTCTGATGGTGGACAGAACCACCACTGCCCGTGTCCCAGTAGCCGTTCGTTTGTCTAAGTGGCTTGCCGAGGGCGGGCGACCCCTAGAAGTCTGTACCCTGAAGGTCTTGCAGCAGTGAGGGATTGACACTGCCCCCCTCCCCGCCCGACTGGTAGCGGGCCTTTACCGCCTGCTCGGGCCTCAGGCAGGAAACAGTGAGGGCTGCCGGATTCACTGCGGTCCTTGGTCTGGCAGTTCTTAGGAGGCTGATGCATTTTTGCGTGGCGGTACTCGTGGTAACAGTAATAAAGCATCTCCTTTTACAGGTGCTTACGGGTTAACATTTCCCATTCACCATCTCATTTCGCATGCACAGCCAGGCCACAGGATGAAGTCCTGTGGTTCTCATCCTCTCAGTGGGAAACCGAGGCTCAGAGAGGTGCACGTACCTTGTTAAGATCACACAGCCGATGAGAACTAGTGTAGCCGGAACGACTCAGCCAGCACTCTCTTCGCCTCCAAGGTTCCATGTACCCTTCATGGTGTCACAAAAGCCCCACCCTGGTGGGTGGTGACAGCACAGTGTTACAGTAAGTGGCCTCCCTGAAGTGCAGGGTGGAAGGAGCTCACAGAAACTGCAAAGCCCGAGCGCGCAGGCTGGTTCAGTTTTTGTTTGACCAACAGAGAAACTGAGTCTCGGAGAAGTCAAGAGCCTTTCCAGAGTTTAAGGGCAGTTTCAGGACCGACCTGTTCAGCCCCAGGTCTCCTCACTGTCACCTGGACTCCCTCCAGCCTTGCGCGCTGTCCAAGTTCTGCCTGAGATGCAGATTTAAAAAAAAAAGTTTATGCACATTAAAATGCTCTATAGTGGGAAAATGCTCTACCTAAGCCAGGTGGTTGGGAGACACGTGTTTTCTTGTTCGTTTACACAGCTTCCCTCTCTTGTGTTCTCCGCTTCGTCTTGCCGTGTGTCTCGGCCGCCTTCCGTCTCTCGTGGCCCAGTCTAAGTGGTTTATTCCAGGTACACGGAGTGTAGAGAAGTTTGGAATTACTGGACTGATAATGCGGGCCATGAATTCATTTCATAGCACCCAAAGGCTCCAGCCTGGAGATTGTACATAGAGATGTGTGCCTTGCTTCTCCGAGCTGCTTCCCCTTCCTGTCCCTAAGCATGGGGGAGAGGGTGTCTGTGGGCCAGGGCGCAGGGGAGGCGACCAGAAAGGTGGAGAGGAGACTCTGGAGTCGGCAAAGGCCGGACCACACAGTTCCCCTGGGCACAGGGCTCCTGGCGTGTAAGGACAGCGGCTCAAGGCCAGGGCGGCAGCCACCGTCTGGGCCTCTTCCTCCCCCAAACCACTCCGGCAGGGCTCCTGGGGATCACGGATCCTGGGCACCTATGGCCCTTTTCCCATTTCCTAAGAAAAGGTGGACGTGCAGGAAGGTAGACCGGACGTAAATTCACTTTACAAACCCTGAGCGCGTGACAAATCTGGACGCGTCCCGGCCTGCACACCTTAACAGGGGCCAGGGCAGCGTGGCGGCGACGCAGACTTCAGCTTGCACGAATAAAGTTGTAGTATTTAAAACATTCAGCATCCCAAAGCAGCAGAGGTAGAATGAATTCAAATCCACTTGCGTTAGGAACAGCCCAAACGTATTTATTATCCATATTAACGGAAAGATTTCATTACTCACCCATCCCTGGGTACAGCTGCGACACTGAATATATCTCAGCTCTTGGAGCATCACTTTTACTGGCTACCTAGCAGTTTGGGGGTTTGTTTTTTAAAAGGAGACAAAATAAATAATGGCTCCCCTGTTCCCGGGCTGGGCTTGAGCCTTCCTTAGGTGATGAGACGATGTTCCGTGGCGCCCAGGTCCCTGCTCCCTCGGGACTCCCATTCCTGGGGAGGAGGGTTGGGGTGTTTAAAGGTCAGGGGCCTCTAGCTGGAGCTTCAGCTTCTGGGTAGACTCGGGATCCCCTGAGCACCTTTGGGTGTGGAGGACCTCTCGCAGCATGGAGCCTGTCATCTTTGAGCTCCCTCTTGGAGTATGGCCCTGAGGGGGGACAGGAGGCTCACCCGGGGCTGTGGCGGACGTCCATCGTCATGCCCTGGTGTTTTATGCTGTAGGACTCTTCCCACGGAGCGGAGGGACCTTTCTCTTTTCTCCTCGCCTTCCCCCTGGAGCAGCTCTGTGAACAGTCCCTGGCCACGTTGGTTACTCGCTGCAAAGAACCTTTGGGTAGATCCACGCTAAGCCCATAAAAAGGATCTGGGGGCAGCTGGAGTGCGGCGGGTTTCATGGCCAGCCTCGGCGTGAACCTTCCAGAGCAGGTTCCAGACCAGCAGAGGACCGCCGGGATGCCCGCTGAACAGCCCCAGCGGGAGGCTGTCATTGCAGCTCAGGTCGTCCCCCCAGAGCGCGCTGGCTCGAGAAGGAACGGGCTGAGCCGAGGGCTGCTCCAGAAAATCCTCCCTCTGACTGGTGGTCGGCTCCTTTTGGGCTGGAGAGGAGCTGAGGGGCGGGGCAGGAGGCAGGAGGATTGTGTGAATCTCACGTTTGGTGCGCCCAGGCAGCACGGCCCTGTAAGGAGATGGTTTTCCCCGCTCTGAGAACCTCCTCCGCCACGGCAGCCCCTTGCTTGATACCAGCCACCACCGGCGGCACCATGGGAAGATCTCGGGTGGAGGGAAGTGTGGCTGGAACCCGTGAACTTGGCCTGGCCACCCAAAGAACCACCTGTCTGGCCCTTCCATGCTTCGGGGCAGAAAGACCCCCGGATCTAGAAGGGAGATGAGGGTACCAGGGACTCGCTGTCGCGGTGGCACGTGTGAAGGCTGGGTCCACCCACTACCTGTTACCACTTACTGCCCGCGTGTCTCAGCCATCCGTGTCACCACCATGAGGCAGGCGAGGGCGGCCCAGGGCACTGCCCGCTGTTTCCCAGGTCTGCTTCCTGGCCCGTCCTCTTCTGTCACCTGGCTGTTGGCCTGCCCGCGCCCTTACCTGATCCCCCTTCAGACGGGGCGGGGGGGGGGTCTGGCCCATCCCCTCAGTGCGGGGAGGGAGCGCCGCCCACACACACTCGCACTCAGCTCCCTCAGGAGTGGCTGCTGTTACTCCCCGGCCCTTTCCTTGACTGCTTTTCCCGATGTTTGGGCTCCAAGCGCGTGCGGTCGTCCGCCGAGGATTTCCGTTCCGTGCACACGAGGGAGGGGCGCAGGTGTTCTTCCCTCCCACAGTCCTGGTGCTTCCTCGTGGCTCTG